AACACAAAAATATTGTAAATTATAATGTTTTGGTGATTATATATCTAACTGTTTCTAACATTGTTATATATGATTTGTACTAATATGATTATTAAAAAATAATCATATTTCTTTAATATATAAATTGCATGCAATTTCATTATTATTAAATTATAATTTATTATTATTTATTAAATATTTGTATACATGTTTGTTTACATGTCTTTACTATTAATAATTAAAAGAAAAACAACATTATTTCAAACATAAAGTATGTATAATGATATGTAAAATTAACATATTAATAAAAAGAATTGATAAAATATTGATATTAAAATATATATATATCTACAACTGTTACAAAATTATGGTTAACGTCAAAATTTTTGAAACTTTTGTATAACAGTACATATAAAAGTAATATGTATATCATATATTATATTACTATTATTTATGAATATTTACTATATTAATATCATATTAATATTATGTAATTTGTTTTGCCTATATATTCTGATTGAATCTTTTTAAACAAAAATATGTTATCAAAATTAACTTCTAATTAAAATTTTAAATATGTATATATATGTACATGTTTCAATTTTTTTTCCAACATAATTTTCTAAATACATGATAAAATTTTTTTAATTTAAATAGAATTTTTTGAGTATTATCAAGATAATGATATCTGATACAATTAATACTAATCTAGTGAACAAACCAACTGATAAGATATTTATAAAAAGAAATACAAAAATTAATTAAGATTAGAAACATTGAAAAATCAATTATAAGCATATTTGCAGTTGAAAAAGATTCAGTTTTACTTACCCGTATAATTCAGAACAATTTTTCTTATATTATTATAGGAAATAAGATAATTCAATTAAATAAATCAACTGCAAATAAATAAAGATTTGATAATAATATATATGATGATAAGAAAATTTCATTGAACGCATTTATATACTGACACATTGCATACATGTTCTATTTAGAAAATAAATATGTATGCATATATGTATATATAACATTTGTACAATAGCAATAATGTTGAATCAAAACAAATCAAAAAATAAATTCAAATAATTTCAAAATTGATATTATTGTAACTGACTTCTACTCCATTTGAAAAAAAAAGTCTATTGCTATACTTTACAATCATTTGTAAACTGTTCTTCGAGACAAAAGAAATAAAAATATTTTTAAGAGTAAGTTTCGTTGGGTTATCTTTGACAGTGTTAGTAATGGAAAACGAGAAAATCTGTCAAACTTACGTAAATGAGGCCGGAGTAATATCTGTCTTTGAGGTTATGCAGCACGGAAGCTTCGTTTAGACACGTTAGCTCAGCCATGTCCTCAACTTTATCAAATTTCGGTGGATTCATCTTCTGTATATCGTCTTTCGCGACAAGGACCCGTTTTCCAGTTTCGGCAATCTCCACCTCGACTTCATCACCCCGTTCACCCTTTATCCCAGCTGCAACGAAACCCTGGGTTTCGTGTGGCACCCAAACCAGCTTTTTCTGCGTCCATTCTGCCTGAGTTGCAGGATCGTTAAAATTATTCCTGTCAACGGAAAGGAACCGTAATTCGGGATCCGAATGATCCACCCTCGAGTCGACGTCCGCCATTTTTGTTTTTGAGATCACTAGCTCCTCGAGCCGGCTTTAGGGACGAGCGATTCCAAGGACGATCCTCGACAGACTGACCTCTTCGTAACAAGGACACACATGAAACTATTCAACACTCGTTTTCCCGTCGTTTTCGAGCGTCTATTATACAGTAATATACTTAAGGTAATCTGAAGTCGGAGAGTTTTAGACGATTCGTAGCTCGTTCTCCTTCGAGGCACCGTATTCTTCTACCACCTTTAACGCTCTTCGAGATTGTTTTCTTTCTCGCTCCTCGCGGCCATCTTCTTTTCTCTTTATGCCGAAACGATGGTGGGGCTGTGTTTTGAAGGTATGCTGCATAGCAGCGCTCATATCGCTACGTGACGTGCTCAATAGAAACTTGATTGGTTAGAAGGTAAATGTATTTAACGCAACAACCAATCGAAAACATTTTGTATATCATGACAAAAACTATTGCTTTTGAATCATAAGCAAGGCATTCTCATTATACTTTTTCTATGCTTTGATTTTAAATATGCACCTGACGATTCTTAACCGACAACTAATAATACAACAAAGTACACGACTAGTGCAAGATTACAGTGGAAATTAAATTATATGATGTTAATTACTCCAAAAATACGTATTTTTATTTTTATAAATATTTTTCTATTCGTGATATGATGTAAATTGTATTTTATTTTGTAACTTTGGAACATAGACAAATTAGTATTATAGAATATATTAATTAATAGTTTTTTCAAATTAAACAATATAGCAGCTTGATATTTTAATGTTTTTGACTTAGTTTTGTATGTACACTAATATCCTGTTAATTACTCTTTTCTATCATTTCTAGAATTAGTTAAATTCAAATGTATTTAATAAATTTCAAATCTAAATTTAAAATTAAATGTGTTTTTTTTTTTTATATCATGGTACTATATTAAAATAAAATTTCTATGTTTGTAGCTTGGTTATATAGTACTGAAACTAAGTATCTTTAAGCATTAACTTAAGAAATTAAGCTTAAATATTTTTCAAAGTAAATATATTGTAGGAGATGAGAAATTTTACTTATTTTTTAATATTATAAACAGTGATTTCTTTAATTATATTTCTTATGTAAACAGTTATTTCTTTAATTATATTTCTTATATAAACAGTTATTTCTTTAA